AGATTACACGGGTCCTCCAAGAATACGCGGGCATATTCGCATGGAGCGTGGCGGATATGCCCGGAATAGATCGCTCCGTTATCTGCCACCGGTTGGCCGTGAGGGAGGGAAGTCGACCGGTACGTCAGAAGAAGCGGTACCTGGCCAGTGACCGACGAGACTTCGTCAAGAAGGAAGTGAAGGACCTCCTCAGTGTTGGTCACATCCGGGAAGTCAAGTACCCGAAATGGCTGGCCAACGTTGTCCTTGCTCCCAAGGGCGACACGTGGAGAATGTGTGTAGATTATACGGACTTGAACAAGGCTTGTCCGATGGATTCATATCCCCTTCCCAGTCCAGATCAAATGGTGGACGAAACTGCGGGGTGCGAACTCCTAAGTTTCATGGATGCCTTCAAGGGTTACCACCAAATCTACATGGCCAAGGAAGATGAAGAGAAGACGTCATTCCTCACACCCGAAGGAACCTACTGCTACCGGGTAATGGCGTTTGGCTTGAAGAACTCGGGGGCGACCTACCAGCGCATGGTGAACAAACTCTTCAAGCCACTACTGGGAAAGACCATGGAAGCATACGTCGACGACATGCTGATCAAAAGCCAGGTATCTCTCAACCATCCGGCTGATATGCGAGCCACGTTCGATATCATGGCAAAATATAACCTCCGGCTGAATCCTAAGAAATGCGTCTTCGCGGTTCGTACCGGGAAGTTCTTGGGATTCATGGTAACCAAGAGAGGAATAGAGCCCAACCCAGAGAAAATCCGGGCCATCACTGAAATGCAAGCCCCTACCTCCGTTAGGGATGTTCAAAAGTTGACCGGTCGCCTAGCGGCCCTCAGCCGGTTCCTTTCCCTGTCAGCTAAGAGATCCCTCCCCTTCTTCAAAGTTCTGAAGAAGGCCAACACATTTGCATGGGACGAAGAATGCCGGAGGGCATTTGAGGAGCTGAAAGAGTACCTAGCGTCGGATATTGTATTGTCTAAACCCGAACCGGGTGAAACTCTGTATCTGTACCTGGGAATTTCCCCAAATGCTGTAAGCTCCATTTTAATTAGAGATGATGGGGCACAAAAGCCCGTTTACTATGTGAGCAAAGCACTAAACGGGGCCGAGAGTAGATATACGGCGATGGAAAAGACAGCCTACGCGCTTTTTATCTCCGCAAAAAAGTTAACATCCTACTTCCAAGCTCACCCGGTAGACGTCTTAACTGACCAACCGTTGGGTGCAGTGTTGCAAAATTTAACATCCTCCGGGAGGATGGTGAAGTGGGCGATGATGTTAACTCAATTCAACATTGAGTACCGGCCAAGGTCAGCAATCAAGGGACAAGCCCTTGCTGACTTCTTGGTAGAAATGACCGGTCTAACTCCAGACCTACCGGTCAACAAGCCCATTGAGCAATGGTGGGAGATGGCAGTTGATGGGGCATCCGGTCCTAGAGGATACGGGGGTGGTATCGTGTTCACCACCCCAGAAGGGTTCAAGATCTACCATGCAATCGTCTTCAACTTCAAGCTGACGAACAATGAGGCAGAATATGAAGCTCTGGCTGGAGGGCTTAGACTTAACCAAGCCCTGAAAATCAGCCGGGTCAGTATCAAATGTGACTCTAGCCTGATCGTTGGGCAAGTGACCGGTAACATGGAGGCAAGGGAAGAACGCATGGCACAATACAAGGACCTTGTACTTGCCCTGTTGAAAGGCTTCGAAGAGTTCAAGATCACTCAAATTCCCCGGGCAGAGAATGCGGATGCAAACCTTCTCTCCAAATTGACGCAGTATGCTCCCGAGCATGTTTCAAAGCTTGCCCGGGTAGAGATCCTTGACCGTGCAAGCATCGAAAAATTGGAAGTCACCGCCATAACAGCAGCAAACCAATTTGACCGGTCAAACCTGGTCGGGGCGGACGACCATTGGATGTATGATCTGATGGAATATTTGATGGATGAGAGCTTTCCAGAACAAGATGACCGGGCAAGAAAAGTGAACCTCAGGGCACCTCGATTCCAGGTTCTTGATGGAAAGCTGTATAAAAGGGCATTTGGGGGGCCACTCCTGAGATGTCTAACCAACCGCGAGGTTGAGCGAGTCATAGCGGAGGTCCACGAAGGCGTATGCACGGCGCATCAAATGTCCCGTACGCTTTCCCAGCGCATCATCCTATTGGGGTATTACTGGCCAACAATCGTCCAGGATTGTGAGAGGTACGTTCAGAAATGCAGAACGTGCCAAATATTCTACAAGTATCCCGGTAGACCGGCGACCTACTATCACCCCGTATCGAATGTCATCCCGTTCGCTAGATTTGGGGTTGATATCATTGGAGCCTTTCCAGTCGCCCAAGGAGGGAAGAAGTTCGTAATCGTAGCCATCGATTATTTCACCAAATGGATCGAGGCCGAAGCATTGGCCAACATTACCACGCAACAATGTAAGAAATTCATTTGGAAGAACATAATCACGAGGTTTGGAGCGCCCATGAACCTCATCACCGATAATGACCCGCAATTCCGAAATCCAAGATTCACCGAATACTTGGAGGGCTTCGTAATCAAGCACAATCACTCTTCGGTAGCGTACCCCCAGGGAAATGGCCAAGTCGAAAGCGCCAACAGAACTATTGTAGATGGTTTGAAGAAACGGCTGGGAGAAGCAGGGAACAAGTGGCTAGATGAGCTCCCACACATCATATGGGCATTCCGAGTAACACGCAGGAGGGCTCATGGGGAAACTCCATTCTCCCTAACCTATGGGTGTGAAGCAAGGCTGCCCATCGAAGCTGAATTTCCAACGTTCCGGGAATCAAATTATCAACCCCAACAAAATGAAGAAGACCATCTAGCCGAGCTCAACTTGGTCGAGGAACGATGGATGGCGGCAGAGGTGAGAATGAGTACATACCAACAAGTTGTAAAGAAGTACCATGACAACAAGGTGGGGCCGCGGTACTTCCAAGTTGGAGATGAAGTCCTACGAAGAAGAGAAGCAAGTAGACCCGGCGATGGAGGAAAGCTGGCAAAAAATTGGGAAGGCCCATACAGGGTTAGAGCCATCATTCGACCAGGAACATACCGGTTAGAAACTTTAGATGGTGTACCGATAGAAAGAACTTGGAATTCCCACCATCTTTGCAAGTTCTACAAATGATTGTAATACTAAGCGAGGCCTAACTACATTTTCAATCAAAGTGATGTTCAATACTCTACTGGGTAGCGGCAGAATTGATAGGTCGAACCTGTCCTAGGAGGGCTTCCTGGGTGGATCGAATCCACTTGGATAAGCCAACTGAGACACAGGCCCGGACCTGGCACGCTGGTTACTACACCGGTCTTGCTCAGTATAATAGAAAAAATATTAAAACCCGGAAGAGGGTATGCCTGCAAGAGGGCTGGACCTGGAAGAGGGTTCGAACCGTACTTACACGGGCCCATGAGGTTTGACTGGTGTCGGGGACTCAGCCGGCGCCATCAAATTGATTGGGGACTAAAAGATGCCCATTAAAAGAAATAGAAGGGGATCGTCCACCGTGGCGCATCTTGTTTCCCCCTTCTCAGGGAAGACTTGAACGGGGGGGTGAGCTAAGGCCTTCCTGGGATGGTAGAAATCAAAGGGCCATTAAAAGACTTAATCACCCGGAAGAGGGGGTCCTGGAAGAAGGGTGCATTTGAACCTTAGAGAGGGTTCGAAACCATTCGACATGGTTAAATCTCCAGTATTCTTACCGGTTAAGGATACTTCAAGAATTACTAGGTTACAGGTGTTTCCATCTACAACCTACCGGTCAAAAAAAAAAAGAAAAAAGAAAAAAGAATTCCCCGGTCGGGTATGGGCACAACAGAACTTCGAAAGTTCTGCAAGGCAAGGCAGTTGACCGGTCAGACCATGGAGTGGAACCTACCGGTCAAACAGTACTCTATCGAAGAATTCGTGAAGCTATCTAAAAAGCTGAAGTAAAGTTCAGCTGGTTCACTCTAGTTCAACCGGGTTGGACTTAGCGTATTCAAAAACAAGCCAAGAAAGCTAAAATTGAAGTTTGACCGGTCAAAGTTACTCGAGCTAATCCTTCAGATAAAGTGATCAAAGAGAACTTTGAAGTTCCACCGGTCGAAAACAATTGAGAAATGGCCTGATTTATGTACCGGTCAGAATTTCTATAATGGTATTCTAAGAAGCAATAACGAAGTATCAATCAAGAAGCAAGCAGATATGGAAGCTAAACCGGTATGGAAATTAAGCATTGCATTAAAGCAGAACAAAAAAGTTAAGTGTTTTACAGCTACACCGGGCATTCCCGGGGAAATGAGGTCAAAGTTTTACAAGATAATTCAACCGGGCGCAGCCGGGGAGATCAGTCAAGGGGAAAAGGGGGAGTCGGCTCTTCCTCTGGGCTGGGAGCCAGGCCGTAGGAAGCCGCGGTGAAGGACGGGTCTCTCTTCAGGAGGATCCGGTGGGAGGCTGCCTGGTCTTTCTTTTGACCGCACTTGAATCCGAAAGATCCAACGGCGGTAATCATCTTCTTTCCTTCAGGCTCCCGGTATAGAAGCCTGAAGGATTCCATGGTAGCTTCTGGGCTCGCCGTCAGAACCCGGGCAGCTTCGGCCTTATTTTCCTCAACCCAGGCGGCTGCGCGCCCGGGGAAGTTTTCTTCCTTCTCCGCCATCTCCCTTTTTGTCTCGGAGACCTCGTCCAGCAGCCGGTCGTTCTCCTCCTTCACCCGGGTGTTCTCTGCCCCCAAGGATCCGGCCATCTTGGACAACTTGGCTAGCTCATCCGTTTGGCTCTTGAGGAGGAGGGCCAGCTCTTCGTTCTTCTTCTTCAGCCTGGCCACCTCGGTTGGAGAGTCCATTCCCAACCGGTCGGCGGTGATGGGCCCAATCTCCCCAACCTGCACAACGTATAATAACCTGGTTAATCTTCGTGTAGCGTAAGGGAAAGGTTAACCGGTGACGAGAGATGACTTACCTCCCTCAGCCGCAGGCCAAGGTTGATGTAGGCCTCCTCCACGGTCGGGTAGGCCGCGCCGGAGTCTGTCCTCTACCTCTTGTTCATGGCAGAGGGATGGTTGATGGCCACCTTCTTGGTCCGGCAACCGGTCTTCTCTTTTTCCTTCCCCATAGATCGGTTGTCTTGGGGTTCGTCCTCATCCAAAATCTCCACGGTCTCTTGGTGGACCGGGAAGGTTCTGGTGGGGTTGGCTTGGGAGCCCCCGGTGTCTCCCGCTGGTTGGTCGTCGGGGATGGCGAACTCTTCGAACTCCATATCTGCAAAAGAAACTAAAGCCGTTAAGTACAAGTAGTTCGACCGGTCACCTACGAATCACAAGAAAAGTGAGAAATACCTGGGTGGTTTTGGCCCTCAGCCTCTGCAGTGTTGCCCGGGGAGGGTACCCCGCGCCCCGCTACTTCATGGGCTTGGGAGGTACCCTCACCACCCGATTCAACCCGCCAAACCCAGCTCCCATAGTGGAAGACCCTCCCAGTGTATGGATCGCCGCGCATAAGGATTTCAAGACTTGCTTCCAAGTCAGGAGAGGAAGCCGGTGCAGTGTGTTCTTGATCGAGAAGATGGTCATTCCATTTTAGACCGGCAAAAGGAGTGACGAAGGGGGGAAACTCGATGAAAACAAACTTTTCCTTCCATCCCCGGTTACTCTAGGGGACTTCGGAAATGAACTTCCTACCGGTACGGGCTTTGAAGAATACAAAACCTTCGCAGCCAGATCCGCCCGGTAGGACTTCAAAGCAAAAGAGAAAGAGACGCAAGGAGGGATCGATTTTCAGGTGAGAGCAAATATTTACAAAGGAATGAAGATACCGGTGGGCGTTAGGGGTTATCTGGCCGGGTAAAATCCTAAACGCATGGCATACTTCAGTTAGAAGGGGGCGAAGGGGAAAAACGATGCCCGCATCTAGGGAAATCGTGTGGAACCCTATCCTATCCACCCGGTGGGGTTCAACAATGTTGGGCCTGTTATGTTCATACAGAAGTGTATGCCCATCCGGGAGCCTCCTACGGATTTTGTTCAAAGCAATGTTGGATACATGGGAAGGAATGTCGAGGACATAGAAGGTGGGGAGCGGAAAGTAACTGGCGGCATGGAGCCGCTCCTCCTACGCATCTCGGGTTTTGTTTTCAGGGTCATAGGGACCCGGTTCGTCATCAACCGGCTCGTCCCTCCCCATGAAAACTTCACCGGGCATCTGATTTATAGGCTGCGGCTCAGGTATGGGGGAGTTAGGAGTCTGACCGGGCATGGAGTCAGGAGAAGAAGACCCGGTCGAGGAAGAGGAGTTGGAGTCCTCAGAGGAGCAGTCCTCCGAGGAAGAGATCCTATCACTAAGAGAAGACATAAACGGGAAAGTAGAGAAGGAAGGGGAAACTTACTTGGCTCGGAGGGCTGGATAGCGAGAGAGAGGAATTTGACCGGTGAAAGCTCTGGAAGGCGAAGTGCGAAAAGTGAGAAGTGAAGGGGGTTGGAGGCCTTTATATAGGAGGGAGGAAGCCGAATCGGACGACGTGGCCTCTCCAGGTTGCGCCGTGTCAGGCGGCGCAATGATGACCCACTGGCAGGCGAAACGACGGGTGGGCCACCGACCGTTGCAACGACGTGTGTCCAACACGTCAAAGCTCTGAGTTCAAATTCAAATTTTGAGATTTTCGGGCGGGAAAAGGCCTGAAATTCAAATTTGAGGTCCCTTTTTAGATTTTTTACTTCCCGCTCATGGCAAATTGCATGACCGAGAAGTGGAGGGCTTATTGATTGGTGTATTCCACCCACGACCGGTCAAATGAGGAGACCAATTAGTTGACCGGTCAATCTCGAAAGTTTTGAAAGGAAAACTTAAATCGTCATCAAATCGACATGTAATCGGCCAAAAGATGACCGGTATACTTCACGAAAAAAGTATACCGGTCAAACTACTTTGTCACCCCATTTTTCCCTAACTGGAATGATCTCATCCCACGGAGATTACCCGGTGTTGTTTCTAGGGTTGGAAAGTGTCGGCAGAAGAGAATCTAAGAGGGCTTGGCGTGTAGCGACCCATGTCAGTAGAGGACAACGGGAGATGCTGAAGAATCCATCCAAGGCACTACTCGACAAAGGGAATGATCCCCCATACAAGGCGACAAGGCAGCTCGAGGAAGAAACCATGTTGGAACACGGGCTTGTCACGTTTTCGTACTAAAGCCGTGTTCGTTCTTGTAACAGGTTTTGATAATGCCAAACCGCCGTGATCAAGTCAAACATTGAATATACAAGGCGAAGAACGAAGATAAGAGCAAGAGCTAAACGAAGACATTAATCATAGTATTGAGTCGGTCTTTATTGTGATCAAGACCGACCCAATCTTTACACCTTGGCTCTTTAGGCTAAAATCTCTCATTGCATTTCTTACATCATAAAAATTTTTTTCAAACTTGTTTAAGTCATTAAAAACACTTGGTGTTCGCCCAAACCAAAAACCAAGCCATCCAGTGTTCGGCTTTAAGAAACCAGTGTTCGGCTTTCGGTTGTCGGGTTTGGTTATGGCATCCGAACCAACCAAGTGGTTTTCAGCATTTTATGATCTGCTTTCACTCTTTGGCATGTTTAAACGGTTCTCCAACAAAAACACTTTGAAAACCATCTCTCGTTTTTAGTCGTTTGACAAAAACCACGCTAAACGGCGTAAACTTGGCTAGCCGTGGTTTTTAATCAAATGAAGTGATTTTTAAAGTGTCTCACTTGATTTCTTACCCAAATACATCAAATAAGTGTTTTAAACACTTGGTTTTTATTTTGGAGAACCTTGGATTTTTCGGTCGGTTTTTGCATCAGTTGGCTAGGCCGTGGTTAAGGCAAAAACCACAGGTTTTTGGCTAACCACCCACCCAGCTATGGGAAGAACATCCCATCGATGTGTAAGTAGCCCCTTAGCCAAACCAACTTCCAGAACCATTCCAAAAAGCGATGGGAAGATCTACCCATCGCTGTTCAAGCCTTGGTCCAACATTATCACAAGGCAGAATGCCCTTACCCAGCGATGGGAAGCTTTACCCATCGATGGGAACCCAGCGATGGGAAGGCATGACCGTTGGAAGTCATTTAAGGTTGATTCTTTCCTTGTTTGGAAGTCAACCTCCCACCCAGCGATGAGAAGCTTGTACCCATCGATGGGTAGATAATCGTTGGCTTCAAAAACTGAAGGAAAATTGGCTTACCAGCGATGGGTAAGTTCCAAACATCGATGGGAAGCCAATATCCTGCAGATCCCAAATTTATTCAATCCCTTAAATCAAGCCAATCACCCCTTTAATGCATTGGTCCGTTGGAGCCTATTTTGGCACTATAAAAAGGGGTGTTTGGGTCTGCTTTTCTCATCAATTTACTTCACTTTATTCATATTATCGTTGCATCCAAACAA